CACACACACACACACACACACACACACACACACACACATATTTTTTAAAAAGGAGCAACAGAAGAAACTTTTTTTGTTCTCTTGACATAGCCTACTACTGTATCTAAAGAGAAGGCTGGCTGCCACGACACAGTTATTTTTAACCCTTTTAAAACTCTACTTCCTACCAGCTGGTCAAAGAATCATATGTCCAATGTGACACAAAAAGGATGATTCAGTTGAATGTAGAATCTGTCTCTAATATTGATAAAAAAGTGTTTATTTATGTAGTTTAAAATATGTTTAACAACATGAAAATACACCAGAATGCAGGAAACAGCACCTACTTCATTCAAAATTTTCTGGGGGAGAACACCCCCTCCCACATTGGGGTTATGATGGCAACTAGTAGAAGCAAATGTAGCATTTTCCTCCTTCAATTTATGACTTTTGATGGACACAACTTGTTGTTATGACTGTTTGAGGAAAGAAGTCAAATATACTCATTTCAGACTTCCTGTTAAGGATCTGGCATGGTCCTTTGGCTTCAAATTAGCATATTCTTACACCCCCCACCAGACTTCCTGACACCTTAACGTTATCAAATAAGAGTGGTCACATTCCTGTTCCAACCCCCATAAGGACAAGCCTGTTCACTCTCTTCAAAGTGGGGGTGTCATAAATGCTTCTGCCAGAACCCTTCCAGCATGACTTGAACAAAGGACCCACATTCTTCATTAAAATGTGAAAAAAAGAGAAAAGATGAAGGAACCTGTATCTAATGTTTTTCTACTTTATTGATAAGAATGTCACCTAACCCATTTTTCTTACAGCAAAGAACTAAAAAAGATCATAAAGGATCTATTAAGTTTTGCTTAGTTAACTATTCAGTAGCTGTGTGTATTTTGGTATTAATTTTTATGAAATGTTTTTCTGAAAAAGATGTTTCTTTAAACTGTGTTATTACGAAAGTTAACCTTAGAAAACTTTAGGTTTGAATTTAACTAAATGGACATTGTTATTTTACTGAGGTAAAGCAGATGTCCCACTCCCTTTAATTAGATGCAAGATAATTAGACTAAAACACTCCCTTCCTTTGTCCTGAAGAAAATGTTTTCCCTCCAAACATTTGATTTGTTAAAAACTTTGGTAATTTTTTTCAGTTGGCTAACTAAAACCTTGACTCCGCCCATAACAGAGGTCTTAAAAGTTAGTACACAGAAGCAGAAAAAGAAAGAAGAGAAGAGAACAAAGACGAGAGAACAGTTTTAAGCCAGAAGCAGCTTTTAAGCAGGAGACCCCCTCTTGCCAGGCCTTCCCTTTGCTGATCAGGATGGGGAAGGGGTGGGGGTCATCCAACATCTCCGCTATTTGATCCGTAATAGCTCGTTCATCCCATTTCGACTCAGCCTTTGAGTTTGATTTATAGGAGTCAAATAAGCTAATGGTAATTCATCTGTCGTTTTAGTCCATTTTTTCCTACAAAGTGTAGATCAAATCAAAATCTTACAGCCACCTGTGAAGGACCAGACTCCCAAGTCACCAGAGAGAGAGAAACTCCTTTTCTGACCACGGGACCAGTCGAGTCTATCAGGCAGACCGCCTGACGTCCAGTTTGAATGGAGAGCTGTCTGGAGAACAAGCTCCAGAGATGACCTTCCACCGCTGACTTCAACCTCCTGGTACCCACACAGCAGAACAACAAAAGGGTAAAAAGGTGAACACTTGTCTTGGTGAAACATGGGTGCTCAGACGTAGATTTGATTTTTTATCTTTGTAGGAGATTTGGTAAACTAAACGTTTTTCTCGACCTTAATTTAGCTAGGAATCCCTAGTTAAACAACCACAGCTAAACAGCTTATCTAWCCTCACCTCCCTCAGAGCCTCAAACCCACTTCTCAGTGTTTATTTTTGTTACATGTTGTTTGTTTTCGTTTGTCTGTTTGTCCATTCACTTGTGATAACAAACTCTCTCAGTTTACCTGGTTCAAACATGTCATCATCCATTCATTGTTTGCCATAGTTGTAAATACATTTAATCTGTAAATAAATGGCCCGTGGAGAACGTGCCAACATAAGCTAATCTCAAATTTTTTGTGTCTTGATGAGATATTCTGGTTTTGATATGACAAGGACTCATAGATCAATTTGGGTAAATTTATTCTGAGACTGATTACAATAAAGTACAGTTTTTCATTTCTTTCCTGGGTCAGTATCTGATCGAATTAAGGATGTGGTGCTCCGAGGAATAATATATTTAAATATAATATGTTTAAATATATTCACAAATGATCAATTTCAGAATTCTAACGTTTAAAATACCCCTACACAAAGATAAATGTAATAGTACTTATGTGAAAGAAATAATAACTGTAAAATCAAAAAGAAAGGTGGGACTGAGAAGGTGAGGAGTATAAGCAACATTTACATTTAATAAACATCCAGGTGTCATCCAGAAGCTATTTTTTAAAAGAAAAAAAAAAATTTGGAGGCTTGCAGATTATATT